ATCTTTCATAATGATTTTCTCATGTGACTGCTAACAGTTTTCTGGGAGACAGTTTTCATTGGCTGAAGCATTTTTAAATTAATAGAGTAGTTTAAATGCAAACATTTACCACCATTAGACTTACAGAAATGCATGCAAATAGTAATTAAGCTAGCGCACACATTGTAAAAATACAATTGACTTCTCTTGGAGTTACTTGTATTCTGTTATTGAAAAAAAAAAAGACACATGAAGAAATGAGTATCCCAAAGCTTTCTCCCCTCAAAACACCTCAATGCCAACAGATCAAGTTTCACACAAAAATCCAGTTGCCTGTTGGAACATATATAATGGTTTTAGTCTGTTACCTCTCAGTATGTGGGTCTATATAAGGTTAAAACCCCAGAAAAAATAACAAGTAAAATTACACTGTCTGTTTCCCCTTGGGATGAAGTAGAATTGCCCTGCATGCGTTTCTGCCAGAAGTAAAATGGAAGAGGAAGGCCTTCTACCTTTTAGTCCAGTATTGTAATGGTGAGGGAATGTGTTGAAGCAGTGGAAGACTCAGGCTGTAGTCCCTGTAATCCAGAGGGGTTTGAACCTGCATCTCAGAACAGTGCTTTAACCATCTGACCATAGGTCAGCCCAGCATTATCCAGACCCCTTTCTAGCCCTCTTATAATTGGTCCACAGGGCAGGCAGATCTATGGGGCCAGGAAGAGGTGTTTAAGTCAGAGGATGTGTGGCTCAGCAAAATAGATGCTTCCTTAGAAAGGAGATACCAGATTCTGACCTGGTCCCTGCTCCCAGTGGGGCAGGAAATTTCCCAGTACCATTTATCCATTTTATCCTATGAACATTAAGGCTAGGGACAGACATTACTAATACACCGGTTTAAGTGATCAGAAACTGGTTTAAACCTGTAACAGAACAGATGTTCAGTGCACATAAACCAGTTTGAGAAAAACTTGGTTGAATGTAGTATCAGACTTAACTGATTTGGATCAAACCAGTTTATGCAATGACTGTCCCAGACCCCCTCCCCTCTGATCCCCGGCTGCAGCTCCCCCCTCACCACTCCCTGCTAGGCAGGAATTCCCCCCTCCCCTGTGCCTTGCTGAGGAGGTGTCTGTGTATTAGCTAGCCAAGTACTTGCTGGCTACCCTCCGTGCTGAATCAACAGGCAGACCCAACAAGTAGTTGGTAATGCCCCTCTGTTCTTTTTTTAATTGGGTGATAAACATTGTTATCAATTCCCTGGTGGGCTAATTACTGTGTCCTGACAGAGCCTGGCCACACCCCTCTCAGCTCCATGCTGTGGAAGGAAAGGAGGGCTGCTCTAGCACCCCCTGGCTTCTAGCCTGAGCCACTACAGGCATGTGCCTGCATTTCTGGGACGTCTGTCCAGTTACAAAACTGATTTAGCCTAGCCAGGTTAGACTAACCTGCAAAGATTTAATCAATTCAGGCTCTGGCTTTTTGAATATCTGTCCCTAGCCTAAGGGTGCTGACAGACATGAAAAAACAAAACAAAATGAAACAAAACAGAGCTTTACGGGAAGAGGAAGCACATTATTATGACTCGGCTCCCCAGCATGTGTATAGATTGGGTGCTTCAGTGGGGCTTTTTGGTGCTCTGATCTAAAGCTGATTCAGTCAGCTATTAGATCAAAGCATGAAAATGTCCTGCTAAAGTATGTGATCTATATGGATTTTGGGTGAGCCGAGTCAAACTAATGTGACGCCTCTTCTGGGCATACTCAGGGGCATGCTAAGCTGAAAATAAAGTGCTATTTTGTTTTGTTTTTTCATGTCTGTAAGCAACCAAACTGTAAGATGCAGTGATGCTAGGTTTGAAGGGAGAGGTTTAGAGTACTTTGCTAGGTAGTAGAAGATGCAGATTCAAACTTCTGGGGTGAAGGGGGCTTACATATCCTAACTACTAGTCTAGGGCTGAAAAAGGGGACAGGGCTCTTCTGCTCCACTTCTTCCCCACAACCACTGTCTGTCACCTGTTCCTTGTGTTGCTGTTCAAATAAGCTTTTGGGACATGCTTGGTTTTATGTGAGGGTGATTCTGTTTCCTGGCACAGCTGCCCAATGAAAGTATAGCTCTGCTGAGCATGCTAAGTAGGCTAGTTCAGGCACGGCTGAATGCCAAAACAGGTTAGATTCTGAAAAGTGCAGCTACATGGCTATATATATACCACTTAGGCAGGTAAAGTAAAACAGGATTTAGACTATTACTTCTAAAAAATCAAGAGACTACTATCTCTCCTTTGGTACAGAGTATTTGTTCCAGTCTCCTATGGCATGGACTGGGAGTGAAGGGCATCCATGGGAAACCCTTAGAAACAGCATAGCCAGTTTTTGCACTTCTCCCTAGGCATCTTCTGATGCAAGCAGCATGGCAAGGAGTGGGGAATAACACAAATATGGAATGTGCTTCTATTATCTCCTTCTGACCAGATGGAACAAGTTAGCCCTCCTCTCCTCTCCTCTCCTCCCTGCCCACCCCCCTTCCCCAAATTGCTCTGAACTGGATGGCACCACACACTGGAAGTTGTAACTGGTTGTTAGGTTCTCAGCTTCATTCTTTTTCTTGTCTTGGGGTACGCAGCATGACTGTCTGTGGAGCAGAGCAATCATCCTTTTCTTGAACCTCCCCTCATATCAGGCAGAATTACTTGTGTCACATTCTGTTGTCCTTGGGGTTCTCATGGACCAACAGGGAAGCCTTATTTGTTCCCTTTAGTTACTAGTTGACGTACTTCAGTTTCAAGTCCATGGTTTGCCGCAGATCTTAGGACTGTTGTTTACCTGCCTCATCTGGCAAAATATAGAGCAGGGCAGTATGTTAGACACTTTTCATCCTGCAAATTTCATAAACCTCTCTGAACCAGTTTGTCTTTAAAGCTAAGTGCAGACATTCAAGGAGGTTAGGGGGAGTTTGGATCGGATTAAAAATAGCCAGCCAATTTAACTTACTTCACCCATGGGTGGACCTTACAGTCGGACCTGGTCTCAGTGTTTGGAAATCAAGCTAAACCCATAACAGTACAGAAGTTCTGCATACACGGACTGGTCTAAAAATGGCAGAACCCAATCTAAGATAGACCTGGATTAATGTAGTATCAGACTTAATCAATCTATTTTAAATCGGAGTACTGAACTTCTGTACAGTTACCTGCACAGCCCTAAAATCGGGAAAACCCAGCCACTGGCCCCAGCCCCAGGGCTGTGATTTTCTTCCCTGGCACCAGGTTATTTCTAGGCCTCCAGCCCCTTGCCATCCCCCCACCAATCCACCAAACCCCACATCCCACAAGCCACTCCTGGTACTGCTTTTATCAGCATTTGCACTGCTGGAAGCCAAGCAAGTAAATATTACTAGATGGATGGGCAGGAGGGATGGGGAATGTAGCGTGTTGGGGGGAAGGTAGAAATAAAAATAGCCCCAGTCCCCTCCTAAGACCCTCCCATGGACCCTGTGAGCCCCCCTAATCCCACTAAACCCTCTCAGACCCCACCAATGTCCCACAGACCCTACATGGCCCCAGTTGCTTCTGCAGATTGCACCTGCTCCCCCG